GCTTAAGGAACACACCATTGAAAAGTCTTTTTCATTATCTACCTCCCTTTGACAGAAATATCAGCTCAGTAAATCCACACTTACATCTCCTACCTCTCAAAAGGATCCAGGTCTTCTCACCAGAAGTGCTGGAAGATAGATACCTCCTAAGATCCTTCTGCTTTTATTGTTCATTAAGGACTAGTACTTRCTATGCCCTAAGTACATAGCATAACCCAATATCACTGCTGCCAGGTGCCACTGAGAAACCCGTTAGCCCAACCAAAAAAAACCAGATACAATAAGGGAGTTATTTCACTGCCACTCCACAATTTTAGTCCATCATRTTCTCAGTTAAATCTGCAGCAGCCTAAGAGGTTAATTCCTCCRTTAACTCTGCCTGGTGCTTTACATGCTGTGAGTTGCACAATGAGCCTCATTTGCATAGCTGCTGCATGCAGGTCTGCTTACCTTCTTGTCTATTCTACTACAAAATAGTTCATGATGGTTTCAGGCAGAAGGAAATTTTATTGCAGTTTTGAAGATAGGTTTATCCTTTTTATCTTCAACTGGATGACAGAAAACCAGAGTAAATATGACGCAGAAAATATGACAGAAACTGTTCTCAAGGCACCATGCWCAAAGGTGATAAAAGGATCATTTTCATTGCCACTAGAGTTAATTTTCTTCAGGCTAATGGAACTGGTTTACCTCAACAATCTTCTGCTACAAACTGAAATATTTTTCAGGYCACTTTGCAAGCCACTAGTGGCTTAAGTAGAAATATCATTTGCAATTAGCTACTAGTTTATCATTTGTAACTGTGATTTTTAGTCACAGAGTAAGGTACCAGTTGTTTGCTCATGCAATAGAAAATTCTGCTGGAATAGAGATCATATTTATACATTCCCATTCACACCCAGAGAAATATTACATCTAAGCAAGGAATCTTCGCTTCTGAAATTGAATGCCATTTCCTTAGATTTCTTACTCCACATTTTGCTACTCTAAGTTTGTGTTTCCTGAATGGTGCTAAATACCTCTCTTATACACACAAGTAAGTGGTCCTCAACTCAGAGGAAAAAAAAGATTCTAGTGATGAAAAATGAATCCTTTAGGTAAAGATCTGTTATGYACTGTGATTACAATGGTCTGAAAAAGATGTTTAAACTTACATTTGCTTTTTGCATCGAGTGTGTTAGAATGAAGTATTTTTCCTATTTCCTTGATTCTGTATTATTAAATTTGAAGTGGTTTAGGGAATAATCCAGCCTAATTTAATTGGAATTTGTCGTAAATACATGGAAGCAATGTGTCTATCTCTGTTCACACTGTGGAGACTTGTTCACTACAGTCATTTGACATGGTTATCTCCTCYCTTCTCAGGCAAATACTGGAAGTGGGGTGTGAGAGTCTGAGAAAGATTCCACTTGCAGCTTAGGCTGTAACACCTGGATACCTGCACCATCCTGTTCTCTACCTTGCAATCTAATTTCTTTTTGGTCAAGRACACCCCTTCTTGTTCAGGAATAAGATTTAAGAACTGATTAGGTCAATATTTATTTGCCACTAAGCAAAATACTCCAGGGAATGTTTCGAATTTCAAAAGATTTGTCTATAATCCATGGAGCCAGAAAAGGCTGTATGACTCCCACAGGCAAAACATAATATTAGACAGAATATCAAAACTGATAGGTAAAGGACACTGAAACCTTATCCAGTTTCCCTTGATGTTTAGTTTAGAGATATGTTACAACAAAAATTGAGACTGATTTTTATAACCATGGCACAGCACTTTTTTCTTTTTTAATAATTGCTTGAACAACTTTCATAGTTCTTTTTAATTCTTGTTCTCAGACTAAAACATAAATTTAGTATAAAAAAATTTAAGATATCAATGTCTGGATTTTAAAATAAACTTTCTCAGTCTTAGGATTCTTCATTATTTGAAAAATGAACATTGTAAAGACAATTACAATACACAGYTGATGCATTTGACAGTCTTTGTACTATGCTACCTTGAAATAGGATGCTAAAATTAAAGTTGCACTTGCAAAAGTATTTACAAAATTATTAATATTCCTCCAATCCAGCCTGATATAAGCAGCATAAGAAGGAATTTATTTTTAGCAGTCTAATCTGGCACTCGGTTAATTAGAAGCGTTTCTCTGCAGATGTTTCTTCTTCTGTCTTCTAGCCTGAGCACTAGTTTTGGAGACCCTAACAAGTCTATGTAAATTTTCAGTTTTTAAACAATGGCCAACAGATATATAAGCCAACAGATATTTAAATCAAATAGCCCTGCTAGAGAGATGCTTGTCTTCCAGATGATATTAGTCGCTCCATTTGGGGCCACTGCAGCACTACATCACACTAATTCCTCACTTTACAACATACTGATGCCAAGACAATAGTTATCAACACCCTATTTCAGAGCATTACTCCTGCTTCAGACACTCCTATGCTACTTCAACAACAGCAGAGATAAACTACTATATAGTGAATAATATTTGTTTTCTCCCAGAAAGCTATAGCTAAATGCTCAACTGGCAAACTTATATAGATATCTTCACTCTCTGCCTTGGGCTAGAAAATTTATAGTTATGAATCTAGGACTTTTTAAAGTGGCTTACATAAGAAGGAGTACAAATGAAAGTAATACATTGGTAAAAAAAAGGGAAGAAAATAATATTCTGAATTATTCTACTGTGTTGACCTGATATCCTTCTATTAATATAAGAATAATTCCACCTCAATGACAGTGTATTGCTTTCCTATGGATGGAACTTCATTCACTGCTATTGAGTAACTTCTTAATCCAACTGAGAAAACAAAAAGTCTACCCCTCAAGTGAGAAGCAGGGAACTCAAAAATACCTATGCACAACTATAAATGGCATTTAGATTTGAGAGGTTGTTTATTATCTTATTTTATTTCCTGGTCAGTAAAGATGTGAATGATGAGAAGGACAGGAAGTGATTTGGARGAAAATCTTTCTCTTTGCTTAATTCTGGCAAAACAAATCCATGGAAATCATGTAGAAATTGTAAAATAGAAAACACTGTAAGAGCTTCCTTGTAATCGCATGTGATACTAATGGTGTAGACACCAMAGGGCCATTGTCTGACCTAGAATGTTTCCAGAAGGGGACAGCAATATGTGACCACTCTCCCCAGAGGCTACAACAGGGTTTACCCTGGGAGACCTTGGCTATGTCTGAGAGCCTGGCCCAGCATCATGACAAAAAAAACCAGTTTGCCTGAACTGGAGTGATTTCACATTTATAGTAGGTTTTAATGTAACAAAAGTTCCAATTTAAAAGTAAAGACAAATTTAAGACCTCACTAAAACCCATAAATATGTTCTGTTTAATTTTGCCAAATTATGTGTGAACTTATTTCTTTTACTGTGAAAAAAGGATTCTGTTGTTTATAGCTCACTTTTTTTGGCCTTTTGATCATTACAACTTACCTGAATAAACTGCAAGTAGTGATTTGTATGTCTAGCATAGAGGAATACTACATTTTGAAATTGGTTTTTCCTTTCTTTTGTCTTAYGTTATTTAAGAAATATTTTTGCAGGTGGAAAAAACAACAACAACAAAATCAGTGCAGCACTCCTTTTAGTTGCTGATATTCTTCCACTTCTAAAGAAAGAAGAAAATTTTTCTCTGAAGTGCCACTGCTTTGGTGTAAGTGTAACATTATCCATTAAAATATACTTCCATGCTATGTTTTAATAGCACCTCAGTAAAAGATATAAAGTTACTTATAAAATCTACAAAGAAATAAGACAACCTAAGTAAATCAGCCTGTCATAATATTTGCATTTTCCACTGAAAGATAAAGAAAATTAAAGTCCACAGGAAATGAAGTACTTGGCATCCAGAGCAATTAACTAATTGGAGAAAAAAAAMCCAAAAACAACAACATGTGCCTTGACAGCACAAATTCCTCTTTGTTTCCAGCARTTTGAAGTCAAAAGGCAAGGTTTAAGATATAGATTCAGGTTGAGTGTACTGAACTCTGAAATTAATTTAATAAAACAGTCTAGGTATCTGATTAGTCTGCATTATTTTAATTTATTTCTGGACATTACTACTTGCTAAATGTTCCCATCACTCTGGGCAGACCTCATGAAGATGCTCCCTCTTCACAATATAGCTGTGATAAACCTCATTGCTTGGCTAAAGAAAGCTGCTTTGGATGCCAGCTAATTCACAGTGCTGCTTTACTTCACTTGAGGCCTGCCAGGGAGAAGTGCTTGAGAGGCTCATTTTTAAGAGCCCCTGAGCAGTCTCAGCAACCCCGGAGACCTGTGAGCACTTAACTCTTCTAAAAGGCAAGCCTGTGAGACAAAGAGTTCAATCTGTATCTCCACTTTATGTTTGACTATGTCAGGGCAATTACAGAGCTCTTCCACATCATAGTTTATATTTCATGTGTGTATAACTTCAGCCATTGCCTTCATACATCCCTAGACCATTTAAATGTACTTTGTTACATTTGTCTGCTTTTACACCACTAAACAGACCTCCTAAGAAGCACAGCATAGCTTTATTTTCAGACTAATTTCAGATTTCAGCACTGCAAACATTAAGAAAGTTCTCACTGTTCTTCTCAAGAATATATAATTCACAATTTATCTCTATGTCTAAAGGACCATTACATTGACATTCCAGCAATTTAAAATTTCTCTGATGTAAATCTCCACATTGTCTATTTTCTCCAGATTTAATAATATCACCAACTACATTTTCATGTGTCTGGGTTTTCAGTAATTCAAAGAATCTATAAATATGGATATTGGTGAATTTTTGCATCCTTTAATAAATTATTATTTGAGGTACAACCTATCCCACTATATCCTCCAAAAGGAATCAATTTCTTTCTTACTGTTAAGTCAGTAGTTTCAGACAAGACATGAAGACCCCTCTTTAAGCTGTACTTCAGGATCTTTACTTTTACACTAGAACACCTCCAAATCACAAGGATTTTTTTCCTTCTTCTATGGTTTCTTACCATAATGAGGAATTATTGCCCAAGCCATTGCAGAAGCATAGATGCCACCAATCATCCAAAACATACAGAGCCAGCTCAGGTGTTCACCTCGTTTCTCTCGAGCAAGCACTTCCGAAAAATAGGAGAAGACTGTTGGCACAGCTCCACCGATCCTAAAAGGAGATACAGATCGTGCATTAAGTGAGTAACAGCTAGATAAACTTCAAACAAGCCTGTAGCAGCAATCATCAAAAACCCCAACTACAAGYAGCTTCCATGGCAAGAATGTGTCTTCTCAAATTGCACCGTGTCTTGGGGAAATCTAGAGAAAACATTCATCAGTTTGGATGCAATTTTTGTTAAATATTTTCTTGACAATCTGATGTATTATTTGTTCTATATACTATTCAATATTTCAAGGGAATTGTCAATGTGTCAGTCACTGAAACAAAAACCAGCACAAAGTCTTGACTTTCACCATTACAAAATCATGGCATCCTACTGACAAGTGTCAAAATACATTGCTTCGAATAGAAAAATATTAATAATTTTCCTGAAGAGTAATAGCTATTTCTCTAAGTCTTACCTCCCACAATTTAGGTAACCAAGAAGTATAAAACTGTCAATGGGGTTTTTCACACACAATTAAAAACATATTCCATTCAGTTGCACTGTAAGGATGGCTAAGCCCATGCTGGCTTTTTACTAAATTTCTTATGAAAACCATATACACTCATATAATATTCTTTTTTTTCACATGGTAAAATAAACACTGTCTGAAGGTCAGCTGGACAAAAATAAAGATTCAACTCAGTTTTACACACATTAAAGTAACTCAAAGTATGCACCACTTTTGGTACAAGTTTCCAAACAATCTTTTACTATCTTTACCTGCTCACTACCTACACAATTTGTCAAATATTCTGCATTAGACAAGTCCTTGGGGATTTYATTTTTTCCAATGAAGAAAAGACCATCTCACATATCAGAATACATACTTAAAAGCAATATATGGCATAGTTTGAATTTTTAAAGTGAATTTTAAAGATAAATGCATATTTTTGGTGTCATCTGGGAGCTGCCAAACTAGAAGCAAAGAGCAAACCTTAAAAGTGATTTAAGTAAATATTAGTAAGAAAAACAKGAATATCAAAGTGGTATTTCACAACTAAGAAAATTCAGTGCCATAGCCAGACAGTTTATTTTGCTATCTTCGTRTACTGTGATGAAGTACTGGATTGAGCTGTTATGCTTGTACAGCGGACTGCTGCTTTTTCATTTCCTTTACACAGCTCTTCATAGAATTATAGAATGCTTTGGGCTGGAAAGGACCCAAAAGATCAGCTAGTTCCAACCCCCTAATATGGGCTTACTTTCAAGGGATGCCTTCACTTGACCAGGTTTCTCACAGCCCCATCCAGCCTGGCCTTGCACACTGCCAGRCATGGCACAATGTTCCTGGGAAACTTGTTCCTGTGCCTCACCACCCTCAAAGTAAAGAATTTCTCCTTAATATCTAGTCTAAACCTGCGTTTTTTCAGTTTGAAGCCATTCCCTCTTGTGCTATCACTACGTGTTCTTGTAAAAAGTCTCAATTTTTCTCAGAGGATCCCTTCAYGTACTGGAGGGTTCAATTAGGATATCCTGAAGCCTTGTCTTCTCTGAAATACTCCTGTCAGTATTCAACTTCACAATGAAGGTTTTGTGTAGTTGAACATGCTAGCTCTTAAAGACTTTGCTGGTAATGTAAACTTTTACACCTCTGGGAGTTCTTGTTACATATGCAGCTAACAAAGGCTTACATATATAGCTAACAAACCCACTTCTTCTCATGGGTGGAAATGTTGAAAGCCTTTACTAGCAAACTGCCCTGTCACAGGCAGTGGGAGATACTTTCCTTGGAGCTTCTCCTGGAAGCCCAGGGTGAGGTAAAATTGAGTGGGCACGGCCAAGAATAGAACCACAAATCATTTTCCAGTGATGGGGAAGCCCTGTTGTCTCAGTGCTTCTCAGTGCTTCTCAGTGCTTTCCCCCCAGTTCACAAAATAGAAATGGATTACAGCTATGATGTCTTACACTCCAGGGCTCAGAGTACTCAATTGCATTTCCACAATATAGCCCAAATGCAATACTCATGGTTCTAATTAGAGCACCTTTTCTAATGTTATCTGAATGTACAGAACCGAACAAAAGTAGCAAAAAAAGGTTCATGTTGCATCCTGTCAACATGAACCAAGTGTGTCTTGGATGGCAGGCTGATGCTGCAATAGGAAATAAAACTGGTGGAAGTGGGTTGACTTATATGCTACATCCTAAAGGCTCTCCAAGGCTAAGAAGCATCAGTGTCTACACAGACCAAATTGATAGGGCAACTTTTCTAGCAAGAGAACTTTTTAGACATGTAAAAGGAATTTTGGAGCCAGCAAATAAAAATGTTTATTTAGGAKATGCAAATAAGCAGGAAAAACATCATCAGCTTTGAAAACTCATAGTTTTTCCTGTTTCAACTGATATGGTTAATTTGGAATTTCCAGTGAGTGCATCAACAGGGTAAGAAACTCTTCTAAGTCCAGATACTATGTTTATAGTGATTAATAGTGAAAATAACTTCAGTCTACAGTTTAAAGAAGAAATACAGGATGTACTTTCATTGTGCAGACAACTACAGCTATATAGAGTTGTAGGTTTTTGCTTCATAGCAATGGTATWTTAAAGTATGTTGTGCACTTCTTTGCACCTCAAAACTGTGAATGGAAAATTTACTTCTCAGCTGGTTAAACTGTTCTTTCTGGCMTCATGTAAGTACTGCTACAATCTTTTAGGATATGGGTACCTATGAAGCTCTTCCTATATCACAAAGTTACTACAGGGTCTAAAAAAATTATTATGAAAAACTTAGAAAGGCTAATCAACAGCAAAACTGGAGGAGCAAGAAGGGACATGGAGAAGAAATGTCCTCTTGCAGAAGACTGCTCTTTTGCTCTTAATGCTGGACAATCTCAAAGTGGCAGTAGCCATGTCTCCACTCACTAAAACTTGCTCCTAAATGCAGAGTGAGTGACAGCAGGAAAAGCTACAATTGTGACCACACCCAATAACGAGAGAAGTCCTTAAAAACTAAATGCACCTTGAGAACCCTTCTAAGGAGCAAAGAAATTTCTTTCTGACACTTTTCTGAAAGAAATCTAAAGAAATTTCATCTTGTGCTCTGTACTACAGTCATTTTCTATTATAGAACTACCATGGTATCAAGTACACTGAACATTGCCAGAAGAAGCATAAATTACCTCTCAAACACTTGGACAAGAGAGGAACAGAGTATCTCTTCTTCCATCACTCTATTGTGATTTTTTTCAGATCCTTCAGCCACTATTATAAATTATGAATTAACTTATCAAAAGTTCAAATAAAAAGAAACCACTGCCGTATCACCCAACAGCTGCAAGSAAGAATGAACACTTTATATTAAAAAAAAAAAAATAAAATCCTATGTTAGGTATCATCTTCACTTGCACTCATATAAGCCCTTAATTATTCAGTGGCTCTAGGTGAGCTCCTGTATATTTATGTGGAAGGAATAGAATTTGATTCTCAATATTTTTGTATTTTAAATTTGAAAGCAGATTGCCTCTTCGTTGTCCACCAGCATTGTGTGGAATGCATGGTGGCATGCACATGAGGGAATTTTAAGTAAAATTAAAAGCAGAGCTGCTACTAATTTTTTTAGTTAAAAGACTTCATGTTTTGTTTAGGAGAGATGCAAATACTATTATTCCACGGGGTACAGTTTAAGTCTGCTTCTGACAATTAATTGTTATGATACAGTGGGCTGTTTGATGTTACTGTTTTTGTAAATTACATAACTCATCCTCACTTGTAGAAAATAATATGATACAAGAAACTATACTCTTCATATGTCTGCACGTGCAGATGAAAAGCTTGTGAAAACTGTGCTTACTTGAGAAGAACATTCATTCCAAAAATGGGAAGGATTTTAACTTTCCTAAATACAAATTATTCAATCAAGCTGATGTTTTTACATCTTACCTGTCATTCATTTCTGCTATCTCTTCAGTTATCCTAACCAAAGCAGTGGACATAAACATGTTACCCACGGAATACAGAGAGAAGTCTACGCACTACTTCCTTAGGGGTTGCAAAATGTATCTTGTTAGTATGTACAAAACTAAAGTACTTTTTTCGTACATTCACAGATAAATTGTCTGGAGTCTGAACTTTTTTATAAAATATTAAAAAAAACATTGATCTAAGCCTCTGGGTTGATGATCAGAAGTGATAATTGTCTCCAGAATAACCCATTCTGTAACGATGCACAAGCTCATCCCAATAGAAGACAAAACTTCATTGAGCTTTGGCCCAAAATCATAAGTGCTCTCAGTCTATAAGTATCAGACTTTGCATCTAAAACAAAAGGATGCCTGCTCTTTCAGCCTTGCTTTTTTTTTTTTTTTTTTTTTTTAAATTTAACTATGCAGCAATATATGCAAGAACAACACTGAAGAAACAGCAGGAACCATTTGCTACTGCACGTATTGTTTATACGTGAGAGAATAGCACAAATGTCAATCAAAAGAATGAGACATGTTGATCTTTTTCTTTTTCAGTTATTCTACATCTTATGTAATAAACCCTATCAGAAGTGGGTAGAGCAAGAGAAAATGAGTATTTATATACTTATGCACACTCACAGTTCGTGTTTGTTCTGTGAAATSATGAGGAAGATGAAACCAAAAGGAGATTTCAGTGGTGCACCTTAAGAGATTCAGCGAAACAAACAATAAGCTACGATACRTTTACATTTTCTTTGTTACAAACAAAGGTGATAAATGTCTGTTAATCTACCTTCAGAGCCGTGATTTGTCACAACACATTTTGGCAATTGCACACTGTGACAGCTGGGATGAAAACAGTCTGTGAGGCATTCATAAACCGCTGGCTCCAGATAGAAGCTTTTGTTTATTTGCAGATTCACTAGCCAAAGGGGCTTGAAATGCAAAAGTATACAAGGAATAGAGATAAATAGGAAAAAAAAAAAAGTCCTTACAGAACAGTAAATGTACAAGGTAGGACAATGTTCTTCTGAAATACGTTGTCTTCTCTTTCAAACTTGGAGACTATCCAGACTAAATATAGATCGTATCTGTGTGAGACG